GGTGCAGGTGCGCGCCGCGCCTGGGACCGCTGCTCCCCAGCTCTGCCGGCGGGCAGGTGACAGCTGCCCCTGGCCGGTGGGCGCCCCTGTGCTCCGGTTCACGCGGGGTGTCCCCACACCCGGGCTCCCCGCTCGCCCTGGGAGGGCCGGTCCAAAGGGCGCCGGGGCCCCAGGGCAGAGCCTGCGGGGCGGCCGCTGTGTGGGGCCCGCGGGGAAGGCGGGGCGCCTCTCCTGGACTCAGGGAAGCGGGACATGCAGAGTGCCGGGGCCTGGACCTCTGCCACTGTCCACGTCCTGGTGCGCAGACCCGCGTGGCCCCTCCTTCCAGGGCCTCCGTTGGGGGCAGGGCCAGCCTGGGGGCCAGAGGGTTCTCCCTGGGGCCTGGCAAAGCCTGTGCTGTGGGTGGGGGCTCCCCTGGAGAGTTTGGGCTCCACTCCACAGTGCCAGGTGCACCCCGGGACCAGTGGGGACAGCAGGGAGGCCCTCCAGAGTCCATGGACCCGCCAAGGCAGCAGACAAGGGTCCAGGCAAATGCGTCAAGCTCCCTGCTGGGCAGGCAGGTCCTGCAGGGGACACAGGGCCCCACCCGGCGCCTCACAGCAGCCCGGCCTAGCGTGGCAATGCCTGGCTAGGGCCTGGGGCTGCTGGTGGCAGGGGACGCTGTCCACTCAGGAGCTGGGACTGAGCAGCGCCCTGCACCCCGACCCTGGGCGACCTCCCCCATCTGCTGGCTCGGGAGGGTGGCAGGTAGTGTGGGCACAGGGTCTCCCGCCACTGCACCCCTGGAAGGCACAAGGCCTCCGAGACTGAGGGATGGGGCAGTGGTCACTGTCCCCCAACGCAGCTTCTTCTAGGGCTCTGGAGGGTCCCTCCCACCTCCTGGCTGGCCTGGGCCTCGTGGCTGCCCCCAAGGGGGCCTGTGGTGGACTCGCGGCCACCCTCTGTGCCCATTCCCCAGGGCACTGAGGGCAGCGCTCAGCCGCATTATATCTGGGGGTCACCGTGTTTTCTGCCCAGAGCCTGGCGACCATATTGCTGACAGGCAGCACCCCTTCTTCCAGAGGGGGCCCGTGGAGAGCAGGCGGAGCCTGCAGGAGCGGGCGGCCGAGGCGGGCTAGGGGTGCGGAGTCGCGCCAGGAGCCCCGCCGGCAGCCCCTCACTGTGGGACAGCCCAGCCCACGCGCCAGGTGGAGGGCAGCCACGGGGGCCCCGGAGCGGCCCAGGACTGCGAGGGCGGCGGCTGGTGGCCCCCTACCCGGGTCGCTCTGCCACAGCCCGTCTTTGTCTCG